GAAGAAAGCGCGGGAGGAGGCGCGGCGCGGAGGGAAACGCGGGACGGGCGGGGGTGGACGTGGGCCGAAGACACCCCGGGGGGCTGGGCGGTGAACGCGGCTGAATAAAACGCGGGAGGGGGAGCGGGGCTGAGGGGAGACGGCGGGGGAGGGGTGAGATGGACGCTAGTGGGGTAAAAACTGGGATGGGCTGAGGGGGTAAAATCCGGGTGTGGGAGCTGAGGAAAAGCGGGCAGGGGGCGATTTGGTGAACGGGCCATAAAATGGGGGGAGGAGGTGGACGCGGGTCGGGTAAAAGCGAGGTGGGGGGAATGGAGGTGAAAGAGGACAGGAGAAAGCCTGGGAGATGAACGCGGGTAGGATAAAATCAGGGGAGTGTAATGGAGCGAAACAGAGAAAACGGGTTTCGAGGGGTGGGGGGGACTGGTCAAACGCCCCTTCCCGGCGTCAGGTGAACCAGGCAGGGCTGGAAAAACAGGGTGAGTGGGCGCGGGGGTAAAATCTCGAATTCCTTAGAATGCAGCTGAGGGTGAAGACTGGGAGCAAAGGGACCCAAGTTGGGTAATAGCCACATGGGGGTTCAGGGGAAGATGTGTTTAAAAAGAGGTGGTGGTGGACGGCAGAGGGGGGGGGCTGAGTTGAGGGGGGAAACCAGGGAGGGGGGCACCGGTAGCGGGAGAAGTGGGGAGCTAAGAAGACCGCAATGGGGTGGATGGGACTGGGTGAAACTGGGGGTGGGAGCCAGGTGAGAACAGTGGGGAAAGGTCGGAAGTGGGAAGAATGAAAACGTGAAAAACAGGGGGCTTTGGAACCGAAGTGGGGTGGGAGAGAACACCTGATCAGAGAGGAAATACTGAGGCTGGAGAATAAAACTGGGCGCACGGGAGGCTCAGTGGGAGCAGAGCTAGAGACCAACAGAAGCTGGGAGATAAAAGGTGCGCCAGGCTGTGTTTTTAAACGGGGACCAGAAAAAGAATACCCAGTGGAAAATGGAGCAAACCAAGATTAAGATAGGCAGTGGGAAAGATCAAAAAAGCGGGGGCCCCAAAATGGAGAGGCTAAGTAAACATGAAGGGGACCTGGGCAGCTAGAGGCCAAAGAGGGTGGGAAAGAGGAGCTCCAGAACAGGAGGGAAGAGAAGTGAAAACAGAAGTAAAATGTGGGGTGGGGTGAGGAGAGGCTCAGAGCGCAGGCTTGTGTTACAAGAAACACACAGCGAGATGGAGGGACTGGGTTAGAAAAAAGATGGGAAACGAGATGGAGGGACTGGGTTAGAAAAAAGATGGGAAACGGGTTAAGGTAGAAAACAAGAGCTTGATGAGAAAGCAAGAAGAGTAGAAAGGGGGATCTGTGATTGAAGAAGGCGGCCTCTTGGAGAGGAACAGAAAACAGGCAAAGGGAATGGAACTGAGCCAGTTCAGCCAGTGAAGCGAGACATTGTGGGGATCGCAGTTGGCTGGGCCCAGCGAAAAACCCCAGTCACCAGCAGCTACTGGATGGGACATTCTGCCTGTGCACACACCCCAGCTGAGTCACCTATGCCAGCCCTTTCGTGTGGGAAAGCATGCAGACTGGCAGAGACAAGTGTTAGCGGACAGGCAGGTAGAAAAAAAATAAAGAACAAGTTTCTCAGGGAGCTTAGGAAAGGTGAGTTTGATAAATCTGCAAGACAGGGAAATGGCGAGGAGGACAGCACCATTACCAAGGCTGGAAAAGCTTCTAAGACAAACTGAGGGAGGCAAATCTTTGTTCCCCCAAATCTTTACCAATAAGGTCTAAATCAACATCATTGAAACATTTATTTAAAAATAACTTTATTCCAGAATCTGTTTTAGAAAATCGTTTGATAACCTCAACGATTTTTTCCTAAACCACCCCCGATGCGAATACTAAAATGTGAATAATGCAGAGGTTTCTGTTTATTTCCCTCACAGCAGATCCTAGCCAGTCCCATGGTGAGAAATATCCGTTGGCACTTACTGCTTTATAACAGACCTTCCCCAGCTAGGACACATTTCCATGTCTCGGTGCATGGGTGATGGACATTTTTTGATCATGCAATTTCCCTGCTGCAATGATAGAGCCTGTTTGTGCTTGTGAGAACAGAAACTAATATCAAAGCCATAGGATTGTGGGAACCCCTTCCCCAGTATCCACCAGTTTTGAGGAAACATATAATAGCCCTGAAATTTTTATGTTCCTGGTTCTGATAAGCCAAACTCCTTCTGGTCTCTAGAGTTTACCATGTAGTCAAACAAAGATTTTTTTTTTTTTAAGCAGAATGTGACATGTTTGACTTTGCAACACCAAGTTTGCCAACTGTGGGTTTTTGGAAAAGGGTCATTTTAAAGAAAAGCCTTAGTTCTTTAAAAATCCTAAAAACTTAGAGACCCCCTTCCTGGGGGGGGGGGGAGGCACCCCCACCCCAGTACCTGGGCTCTTAACAGACCCAGCTATGTTAATGTTCCTACAGGGCTTAAACATAAGTGAGGGCAGTCACAGCTCAGCCGGTCAGGGGGTTAGTGAGTTCAGCAGAGACCTCGAGGTTCCTACTTCTTAATGGAAAATCTTGCCTCTCCTATCAGGTGAAGTTGCAAGTGAAGAGGAAGTTGTGGGAAGCATCTCAGAGGTGCTGCAAATCACTCACTGCATTCCCAGCTAGGATTTCCACCTGCATTTCTTTCTTGAAATATAGTTGTTTCTGCACAATGGACTCTCAAATTCAGGAATTATTAATCATGGAAGATCTTAAGGGGACTAGGTCTGTTATCAGTAACTTTAAAAGTCACCTGTCTAAAACTGTCCCCTTTGGAAAGGATGCTCCTGTAGACTGGGTAGAGTGGTCAAGTACATGAGGTACCAAGCATCAAGAGACCCGACAATGAGACCTGCAGTTCACAGCTATTCTGAGGGGTGCAAAGTACAGCCAGCTCCCCATTATTCTGTTCTGGGGAGGGGGGTGGACAGGGCTCACTTGCAGTAACTTGTTCGGCCCCTAGTCCCTTCATCCAAGAAAGCAGGTCTCCCCCATCTGCACCTGCTGGTTAAACTTGCACACAACCAGCTTCTCATCTTAGAAATCTCAGCCCCTTATTGGAGGAGGAAAATTCTCATTTAAGCTGGCCCATTTGAGCAAGATAAGCAACATTAAGGAGTGTAAATTCAAGTCAGATTTTCATGTTTAGCACACAGCTTCTGCACCATTATAAAGTCCCTGACATTTAAGAGGTTTGCATAAAAGCCGGGGGGGGGGGAGGAATTCTCTACACTGTACAAGAATCTAATGTATCAGTAGCTAAATGCTCATGTGTTATTTTCATTAGAAAATGAGTATCACTGATCAGTGCATCTTCATAATCTCCCTAAGAAGCAGGAAGGAAATAAATTTTTCCATTCCTGTTTCCAAGATGGCGACATACGCCAGAGGAACAGGTCTACCCAAAGAGGACTTAACCTCAGACACTCAGGTATGAAACATTTCTCCTGCTTTCTTCAAAGCCTTGGGAGAAAGGGAGCATGGGAAGGCTGAATGCTAATAGTGCAACACCTGTAAGGCTCCTGTATAAACACAAAACTGCAAAGTGTGAGGTTCTGTTGAAGGCACTTCCTCTCGTTAGCCCCTACCTCTTTAGAAAGAATGATACCTTCAAGGAAGCAAAAATCATCCAGGAGAGCTCTAAGAACCCCCAGTCTGAAATCATCCCACAGAAAAACAAAAGGCCCAAGCAGCAGCTGGTAACTTACAGGTGATTCGCTTTGTCCCCAGCTGGCAGGCAAAAGCAGAGAACTAACACTCCATTGAGATGTTTACACATCCCCAAGGTCCTAGCTTTGTCCTACCACAACCCTGTAAGGCTTCACTTCTTCCACAGACATGGAAATGGAGGCCCCGAGCAGAGACGTGCCCATGTCCATGAAACAAGCAGCAGGACCAGGTTCCAGCCTGGGTGTTTCTGGCTCCAAAAATCAAAACAACGTGCCACGGTCTGACGACTGTGGATAGCTGGCACCTCTCCCTCTCCCAGGGGCGCGGCCCTCATTTGCCTGGCTCTCATCTGGGGCGCGATAAAGGAAGTGTCCCTACCACCCCACACTATTCCCTCCTGCGTTAGGGCAAGCTGGCTACAGACCCTCAACAGTGGCCAAGGTCACTGAGGTCACGTGCCAGCCCCACTTCGCATTGGCATCAGTCACGTGATGAAGTCAGAAATCACACAGATGGGGGTGGGGGGCGCAGCCTCCCGACTCCACCCCTTCCCAAAGCATTATAACATAATTGAGAAAACTTACAGCCAATGAAACCAAATTTTAAAAAAAGGAAGGAAAAGTCCTGTGTGTGTATATGTTTGGGTTTCCTTTCTGCTGAGAGCCAAGCCACTTTGAGCCCTCAGGTAGGGGTGCCAAGTCAAGTCAAAGCAGAAAAAAAAACTCATCTTCAGCGAAGTTTCCCAAGCTTGTCAGAGAGGACGATGAAGTGCAGTTCTGTTCTTCAGACCGGCTTGTCGTCTTCTTGAACTGTGTCACTGTGCTGCTCACCGCTGTCCTCTGTACAGGAGGGAACAGACCCAGCCCTGAGCAGCTCAAGAGAGATGGCTGTGCGCCCTTCAGCCTAATGGAATTATCTTGATTTCCTGGGTCTTTACTAGTGAGCCCTGAACTCACAATTTGTGGGGGAGTAGATGTGGCTGGGGGTGTTTCCACTCAGAACCCTCCAGACGCCCACTCTTCACACTCCTGGCTCTCAGCACCCCCCTCACCTGGAATGCCCCCTCTCCCTTCTGCTTATTCAAGCTCAACTTGCCTTCAAGACTCCCCCCACATGTCCCGCTTCTTCCATAAAACTTTTCCTGACCTATGTGTCCCTCAAGGCTGTCTCCCCCTGAGGGTCTTCTATTTAGAAATAATATCATTTATCAGGCAATTAGCCAACTCCTTGCAGCAGCTCTGCTGCTACTCTTAAAATGTTGGCTAAATCTCATTTCCATTTTCATTTCCTAACTGGTTTTATAACCAGCATGCAGCTATAATCTTTCTTCTATAGCCTGCAGCGGGCCTTGATAAATGCTCATCAGTTTCACTGTTGTAATGGTGGTCACAGTTTAATCTAGAACCGAGAGCCTACTGTCCCGCCCAGCCTTTTAAAAACCAGACTCACCCTCTAGAGATTTCCTACTGGGAAACTTGCCAAGCCTAGCAGAGTACCTTCCAGAAGGGGGCGCTTACCTTGCAGCTCCTGGAGTCCACCGCCCATTCGTTCTATGTTCCCGTTGACCAGGGCGGTCACTCTGTGAATGTGGCCATGCTTGTGTACTCTCGGCAACTCCTCCCTCTCACTAGTTTCCTCCTCCTCCTCTTCAGCAGTGTCTTTCTCCTCTTCCTCCACCTCCTCTTCCGAGTCCACCAAAACCATGACATCACCCAAGTCTTGCCCCCTAGTTTTCCAAAGGAGGAGAAATCATCAGGAAGCAATCCTCCCTTTCCCAACTTTAGCCTTCTCTACAGGGAGATACTAGAATCTTTGTAACCCCTTGGGTACCATGGCAAATTCTTTAAGCAACTCAACTTGGCTGTGGGGCCTGACCATACAGTTGTAATTCTCAAGAGCTACTGCAAGAGACCACTACAGAAAACCCTACCTCAGGCCCTGTTCCTTGGGTAGGTGACTTCCTGTCCTAAGCATCCATCCCTCCTAGCCAGACTCAACTGTTCAGTTCCTTTCCTGAAATGCCCTTCTTTCGCCTCCTCCTCATTAGTCAAAACCCAGACAACAACAACAAAACCTCTTCTTCCCCCAAGTCTTAAGCCACCATTGCATTTGGAATCCATGCCCCGCAGCTGAGCATTTAATCCCTTCTTTTATTGTTAGTCTTGCCTCCCCAGCTAGAACGTGCATTGCTTAATGCAGAACAGCGGGGCAGCCAGTCACAGCCCTAAGAGCATTACTTCACATTTCATCCTCACAGGCCCCTCTGCAGCAAATGACAAGATCCAGAGAGGTCAGGGGTCTTCCATGAGCACAGACCTTAGGAACAGTGGAGCTTCGAGCTGAGCCCAGGTCAACTAAGGTGACCTCCTGTAAGGAACAAGCCTGAGGAGGGATGGACTCACTGAGAGAATGGCCCTGAGATGAAGGGCAAAGAAGGCAATGTTTTCCCATGAAAGTCGGCCCCAGTGGCAGCCCCTCATTTTGAATGGGCAGGAGGGCTGCTCTTCCGTGAGATCACGGGGCTCTGCACTTCCCCCCAGACTCACTGTAGGAAATGAAACACACAAATCCCATTCAGTAACGCTGCCTCTGCTTTGGGGACCAGGCTTCTGAGCATGCTCAAGACTAGTCTTCCAAAACATGCTATAAGGGGATGACTTGTTTTTTCTCTTAGTTCTATTTAGAAAATTAGAAAAAATAAATGCATGAGTGACTGGGCTCAACATGTACATGCTGTCTTTATGCCCAATGGCAGCCAGCAACGTGCCCCACCCTGCGGTCTGGCACTGTCAAAAGAGCAGACTTTGGATCACTCAGATTTAGGTCTGATGCAGGCACTGCTGTTTATGCCTCAGATGAGCTTGCAGCAATTACTGGGTTTCCATCTCCTTGTCTCCTTGTCCCATCTCCTGGGGATGCCACCACCAGTCCCGAGAGCGTACGAAAGGCTTCACATGTGCCTAAGACATCGCTAGCCCAGGGTCTGACGTGTGGTGGATCCACAGTGTTCGTTACTTACTAGTTTTATGAAAGGAAACAGACAGTGAAGACAGATCATGGAAACACTCACCTGAAAGTGCTTCCTACTGAGGGGAGAAAGGAAAAAAAAATTAATATCCAGTAACATCCACTTCAGCCTCAGTGAAGTTTTTAATCAACCTCCCATTTACAAAAGAACAGACAGTGAGAAACGGACCTAATATGAAAGAAGTCAGGGTGTTCAGGGGTGTCATTAGATGCTTCATGACTGTACATCTGGACCCAATGCGGGAGCCCATGGAAAGGACTTCAGGTAGGAGCATAATGGGGCTTTCTCCTCCCCAGCCACAGCCACAGAAAGAAGCAGAAAGAAGAGCAGGACTATCAAGAAGCTCTTACCTTTCCAGCAGAACACAGGGCTGTAATACAGAATAAGCCCTGCGATGATGGCGAGTCCCAGCAGAAGAAGGCTTACAATAGTTCCCACAATTCCCCCGACGTTTAGAGGTTCTACAAAGACAAATCACACCACTGACGAGTCCCCTGTGAACACATGCCACTCAGAGAATACTCCTCCCTCCACTCCATGGGTCAAGTCTTATGTTGACAAGACATGTAACCTCTCTGCAAAGTATGGTAGTTATCTCGTCTCCTTTCCTAGACCTCAGCAATCAAATGAAGCATGTGTTACAAAGGAACACTGGAAGGTTAAAATCTCTGTGTCCAGGACACAACATGACTATTTTTCAGGGGATAGTAATGAAGAGTATGACTATCAGTGTCACAAATAAAGAGTGATCAATGGAACTGAACAGAGAGTCCAAAGACAGACCACACATAAAAGAAAACTTAAGACAGGAGAGATTAGATTAAAAAGAGGGAACTATTGAGAGGTGATGCAGTAAATAATGGTTATCCAAGTTGCCCTGGGAAGGGGGTCACAGAGGTGCAGAGAAAACTGATCCATACCTCATACCATTCACAAATATCCATTTTGCAGGATTAGAGATTTAACTGGGAAAGGCAAATTGTTGAATTTTAGAAGAATATGTAAGAGAATATCTTTGAACCATGGAACAGCAAGGACCTCTTAAGAAATTCTTACAGGGGGTCCCTCCCTCGAGGCACATTGGGTTAAAGTCCAGCACTATGAGACTATCCACAGCCACTGCAGGACGAGTTTGACCCCCAGCTGTGCAGGGAGCTGAACCACATGGTGCAGCAGACCTCTTCTGACCACCCACTGCTCCCTTCAGCAGTGTATTTCAATAGATCTGCCTGTTCTGCTCCCCCCTCTGTCTCTGGTGAATCCTTTCACCCCTCCCCCCCAGTGGGTGAAAGGGCTTTGGGCTGTACCCCAGTTCTTGTATGCATAAATAAATAAAACTACAAATTGCTAGTGAGTCATAAAATCAACACTAAAGTAAGAATGTTGGCTAATCAAAGCAGACCATAAAGTGAAAAAACAACAAACTGAAAGGAGATATTGAAAGCTAAATGTTTCAAGGAATTTGTATGTGGAATCTCTAAAGAATTCCTATATTTCTAGAAAAAGGGGGTAATGTCAAAAGACAATATTTTATGAAAAGAACATAAATAGCATAAATATAAGAAACAATGTTCAACTTTATTAATAACCAGATAAATTCAAAATAGTGCCACAACTAGTTCCATTTATTTATTTTAAAGATTTATTTTATTTATGCAGATAAGAGCTGGGGTATAGGCCAGAGGTGCTGGGTTACGGGGGGCAGGGTGAGAGGATTCACCAGAGACAGAGTGGGAGCAGAACAGGTGGATCTGCTGAAATCCACTGCTGAGGGGAGCAGCGGGCGGGTCAGGAGAGGTCTGCTGGGCCACGTGGGTCAGCTCCCTGGCTGGGATCGAACACAAGCTGGGTGGCTGCTGAGAGCTTCATACAGCTGAGATTTAACTTCCAGCACTACCAGGGAGGCCCCACCCGGATTCCATTTAACACCTACTTGATGGGCAAACAGCACATAGCCTGCAGGTGAAAATGCGGAACAATATGGCAGCAGTTAAAAATGGAAATTGGCAAAACTACTCTGGAAAATAACTTGGTGGTTACTTCATAAAAATAAAAACCTGTTATGTTTCATTTTTACTCAGTGAAGGCAAATCCTAGAGAAGTATTTGCCCAGGGAATTGGAGCATACAGGTACACAGGAACTGGGTAAAAGCGCTCACAGCAATGCTGTTCACCACCACAACAACAAAAACCCAGAAACCACACAAACATCCATCTGCAAGAAAATCAATAAGCCAGTGGCCTCCCTGGTGGCGCAGGGGTTAAAGTCTCAGTGCAGTCACCACCCAGTGTAGTCCCAGCCCAGGGAGCTGACCCGATTGGCAGAGGACATCTCCTGTCTCCCCACTGCGCCCCCAGCAGTGTATTCAGTAGATCTGCCTGTTCTGCTCCCCACTCTGTCTCTAGTGAATCCTCTCACCCTCTGCACCTCTGACCTATACCCCAGTTCTTATAGCATAAACAAATAAAAATAAATCTTTAAAAAAAATCAGTCGCTCAGTTGTGGAATAATTGCACAATGGAAGATTATATAGTGATAAGAAGGGATGAAGTATAGTTATATATGTTGGCATAAATCAATGCTGGAAACAATGTGGAATGAAACAAGCCAATCACAAAAGACTACATTAATGTGGAAACAACCATTTTTGAAGCTCTCAAACAAAAAAATATATATAATAAAATACTTAGAAATGTGCATGTGTGTAGTAACATTTTTCTTAAATAAAACATGAAGCTCAGGAAGTGGTTACATTTTTCAGGGGCCCAGGATGAAACTAGACAGGGGGCCACAGGAGTGATTACCAGATAAAATACAGCATGCCAGTTAAATTTGGATTTCAGGTAAGCAACAAATAACTCTTTGCCTATATCCAATGAGATATTGGGACATAATTATGCTAGAGAAATTCCTGAAATGCAAAGGTAAGAGAATGTTCAGTTTTTTTGTTTTTAATTTTTTGTTGTTTTACCAATTTCCATTGTCAACAGAATGGGACATTCTAAATCTGGCCACACTGCCGGGACAGGCTACTTCAGCAATGCTGGTGTACTAATTTACATCTTAAGTGGGATGGTAGATTCTTGAGGGTTCGTTTTAGCATTATGTTTCCCAACTTTAAATATAATTTGAGAGTCCTCCCCATTGGCACAGCGGGTTAAAGCAAAGCACTAGGAAGTTAGCTGCAGCAGCTTCAGCAAGCATTCAATCCTGGGCCAGGCAGCTGACCCACATGGCACTGCAGACTTCTCCTGTCTTGCCCACTGCTCCCCTCAGCAGTGTACTTCATCATTCTGCCTGTTCTGCTCCCCACTCTGTCTCTGGTGAATCCTCACACTGCCCCTGCACCTCTGGCCTGTACCCTAGTTCTGTAAGAATAAATAAATCTTTTAAAATATATACACACACACACACATACATACATATATATATATTTTTTTTTGAGGTAACATATTTTGAAGTTTTTCCTCCCTGTGCAAATGTTAGGGATTTAGGACTGGACAATTTTCCTACCCAATTTGTCAAGGCAGACACATGCTTTCTCCAAGTTAGCAGTGGACCATATGCAGGGAAACACCAAGTTGTCCTTCTGCTGGTGCCAGGTCTCCCGACCCTCTCCAGACTCCTCCTTTGGGGCCATCACCTACCTTTCACACTTAGCCAGATGTCCACCTTCCTTAATCCAACGGAGTTCTCGGCCCGGCAGACGTAGTAGCCCTCGTCTAGGTCCTGGGAGCAGTTCCTGATGGTGAGGGTGGAGCTCTGGCCATTGTGCATGACGACGTAGTGACTGCTGGACTGGATGACCACCTCGGGCTGGGTGAGGTTCCTCAGCCACAGGATCTTGGCAGGGGGGTAGGCTCCAGACACCTGGCAGGTAAGCGTCACATTACCCCCCAGAAAGCAGGTCTTCATGGGTTCAGCGAGAAGGGAGGGGCTCCCTGGTGATCAGAAGGTAAAAAAAAAAAAACAAAAGCACAAATATTTAAGATGATTCCAGCTATGGCCATGGATGTTTTCCAGGAATATTACCTCCTTCCTAAAGAAACAACTACAGGAATTTCTGTACTACGTGTTGTTCATCTTCTGGAATCATTCAAGTTGACTTTTATCAACCATGTACGATAGGTGAGGCAATGCTTTGCAGATTGACCCAACTGATTCTCACGAAAACCCTGTCATTATTACCACTTTGCACATGAGGAATCTGAGGCCCACAGAAAGTTAAGCAACTTACTCAAAATCACAACTAATAAGAGATGTGACTAGGATTTAGAGTGACTAACTGTCCTGGTTTGCCCAAGCCCGAGGGGTTCCTGAAACGTGGTCTTCTAGAGCTATCATAAGGAAAACGTGGAGCCTGGGAAGCCAGACTCTGGGTCCGTCTTACTACTTCTATGCCATGGCTTCCATGTGTATAACCACATCACCATATTTTAAGAGTGAGTGCACAGCCTGAAAAGGGTGTTCAAGGAGAGAGTAGGGCAGTCATATTAGTTTTCAGTTGCTGCTGTAACAAACTGCTACAAACTTGATGGGTTAAAACCACAGAAATTTATCTTTTTACAGCATTTCAGGAGCCTGAAATGATCTGGGCTGGACTCCAGATGCTGGCAGAGCTCGCTCCTTCTGGAGGCCTTAGGGGGCCATGCATTCCTAAGCTTTTTTAGCTTCAAGAAGTCACCCATTTTCTTGGCCCCTCCTTGCATCATTCCAGCCTCTTGCATCTGTCCTCACATTGCTTCCTGACCCCCTTTCCAAGGACGCTTGTGATTACACTGGGTCTCCCAGAAAATAAGGGATCGTCCAAAATCCTTAATCACATCTGCCAAGTCCCTTTCGCCATGTTAAGATAACAGATTCACAGAGTCTAGGGACTAGGGCCCGGATATCTTCGAGGTGCCATTAATCCACCTGCCAGAGGTCTCTATCCTAGACAATTTAGATGGTAGCATCCCTGTGACCATTAGTCTGATTTGAGTGGGGGCGCAGAAGCTTATGGGCCACCAAAGCAATCTATTTGCTTTCGTTCCACCAAAACCCTCCCCCAAATGCACACGTCCCCTGGGAAGGGCAGTAACTATACATCCTGGGGGACTTATTCAGTTCACACTGTCAGCAGCTGCAGGGTGCAGCATAGCATGCAGAAGAGGGGATCTACATGCTCTACATGTTGCCGCCAGGCAGTGGTGGCAAGAGAACCTAGTCTCACTGCTGGTGTCCAGGAAGAGAGAAGGTACAGAGCAAGGGGAAGGTGTGGAACAGCCCCAAGCCCCTCTCTTTCTGTCAAGCCCACAAAACAGAAGCCCCCAACCTAGATTTGCTGAGATATTCACATATACTCCTTCCTGAACCAAGAGCAGGTTCTTCCCACACCACCCCCTCACCACCTTTATCTCTCTGTGGTTAACCTGAATTTCCTTCGGAGGTCACAAAACCAGCAGCACTGACAAGCCTCATCAGGATGTTTGTATCTTGGGGTCCTCAAACCAAAGTTTAAGAAATGGCCTAGTCATCCTTTATTAAAAGCAAAACCAACAATTCTCCTTTTACCACCACTTGCCTCTCAAATAAATGTCACGCACATGAATACATTTTTGCCAAAAGCACATTTGCCCCTTAAAATGTGGAGTCACACAGCCGGCTTACACAGCACCTATAAAAAAAGAATTCAGTTTAAGGGGATACTGTGTCTAAGGGGTTGTGGGGCAGTGGGGAGGTGATTGTCGAGCCACAGATCTTCATGGGATGGATGATATATCGGGGCTGTCGTAGGGATGGGTAACAGTGCAGGTGCTCATGAGTTTTGCGACCTATCAGCCATTTAAAGAGCAATCTGGGCACAGGAAACAAAAGGATCATTTTTCATCATTTTGGAAACTATGTCCCCAAAGGAGACATTACCTTTCAATGACTGAGTAGTCCTCTCAAATGAAATGCTGAGCGTGTGGTCCAGGTATCAAAAGTATCAGTCCCCCACAGGGGCTCAGTAAGAAATGTGAGTCTGGAGTCCACCCCAGACCTAGAGAGTCAGAATGTGCATTTTAACTGGCCCCAGGCAACTTACATACAGCATCAAGACATGAGAGGTGCCTCAGAGGGAAGAGGGGAGGAATGAACAGCATGAGCTTGGCGAAAGTTCCATGCTCTGCTTCCTATGCTCTAGGAACTGAGGGAAAACCTGGTCAGCTTCCTTATCCAGAGACATTTCTTAATCCTGAGCACACTTAAATCAAATTCCTGGCCATGGCTTAGGGGCCACAGGAATGTGACTCAGACAAGATCTGCAAATAAAATCAAAAGCGTGTGTTTGGGGTTGGGGGAGTGCATAACACAAAACCTCCTCATCCTCTCTCAGCGTCAGCTTATCACTTACCTATTTCCTGGGACTTTCTGTCTATAACATACTTTGGTGTCTTCATTACATATGGCTGTGAGCATTTGTAAATTTCTCTAAGTCAAATCAGAGTAAGTGTGTTGTCTCTCTCTCACCATCTCACCATCCATGCAGTGTAGCATAGTGGGATAACAGTGCCCTCCCCAAAATTCATGTCTACCTAGAGCCTCACAGTGTGACCTGGAAATGGGGTCTTTGCAGATATAATAAGTTAAGGATCTCAAGATGAGACCCTGTAGATTTCAGATTGTCCTTAAATCCAACGGCTGGACTCACAGGGGAGGGGAGGACACAGAGACACACAGAGAGGATCACGGGAAGAGGAGAGGCACAGGGCAGCTGGTGCAGTCGTCAGCCAAGGAGTACTGGAGCCACCAGGAGCTCGGAAAGGCAGGGGTCTCCTGGAGTCTTTTCTGGGAGCCCAGCCCTGTGGACACTCTGACCTCTCGTCTCCAGGGGTGCAAGAGAATAAAGTATTGCTGTTTGAAGCTGCCGCTCGTGGTCACTTACAGCATCAGCCACAGGACACGAGCATTCAGTGGCAATCTGAGCACGCGCTCGCAGGTGACGCCAGAGACTAAGCTGAGACACTGTGGGAACATTAGCATGGGGCTGGACACAGCCTGCACTCAACTGACAAAAACGTCACTCTATTGTGACGTGCCATTTTCCCATCTCACGTTTGTCAGACTTCGCTCTCCAAGTAAACGTTAAGCCTTTAAAAGCAAGGGCTCTAGGCCCTCCTGATGGCGCAGCGGGTTAAAGCACAGCACTGAGAAGCTAAAGCCACTTCAGCATGACTTCGACCCCCAGCCTGGAAGTGACCCACATGGCGCGGCAGACCTGTCCTGACCCACCCACTGCTCCCCTCAGCAGTGTACTTTGTTCATTAGCCTGTTCTGCTCCCCACTCTGTCTCTGGTGAAGCCTCTCACCGCCCCTGCACCTCTGGCCTGTTCCCCAGTTCTGTATAAATAAATAAATAAATAAATCTTTAGGGGGGAAAAAAAAAAGCAAGGATTCTGAATTCCTCCACAGTACCTAGCACGGAGCTGATGATGCAACTCCCATACAAGCAGACTTGCTGCATACAAGAAGACTGCAAGGGGGGATCTGGGGTGCAGGTACGAGTTCCCTTGCCTGCTCTAGATGCACCAACCCCCCCCCACCCCAGTTTTCATCACCTGTCCACCAGCCCAGAAGCTGTTGCTTCTGCCTAATCCCAGAAGATGCTCATAACCCCAAAAGAGACCTTATACCCTTTAGCACTCACTTAGAAAAAATGAGAATACTTGTTCTCCATTCTGCCCATGTGGAGAAAAACAAGGACTTTGGAATGTATATACAATACGGATTGCCACCAGATGCAATTTTATTGGTGAGATAGAATTCACATTATATAAACTTCACTATTTTACTGATTTTATTAGTTTAAAAATTATTATGTATTTTTAACACATTGGATCACCAAGGGTGTAACTCAGGATTAGCTGAGGATTAGCTACATGGAAGAGGTGCACAGGGAAAGCCTAGGGCCTGCTCATTTCCTAATGGACTTGGAGATCTTGGGCAGTCAGTTTACACAATGTAGTTAGGGGCAAAACACACCAGCAGTGTCTGTAAAGTGTGTGGCACATTACATAAGCTACATTACTAATAAGGATTCTTAACAGAATTAGAAGCAGAGCCCAGTAGGAAAACAGGGAAGATGTGAACAGATAATTCCTAGATGTGTATAGGAAGCCAATACACATGAAAATGATCAACCCCAATCTTGATCAAAGACCCAAATTGAAGCCATTACACTTAGTGAACAAATGAAAACCACCTAAATAACGATACCACTCTGTGGGCAGAATGGAGAACGAGTATTCTCATTTTTTCTAAGTGAGTGCTAAAGGGTATAAGGTCTCTTTTGGTGTCATGGGCATGTTCTGGGATTAGGCAGAAGGAACAGCTTCTGGGCTGGTGGACAGGTGATGAAAACCGGGGTGGGGGGGGTTGGTGCATCTAGAGCAGGCAAGGGAACTCGTACCTGTACCCCACATCCCCCCACATCTCTTCCATGCCGCTACTCCCTAGTTACAGCCTTTGTAATGCAGTGGTGATCTGAGTTTAAAATACATAAATAATCTCAAAAGTAATAATAAAATCAGTAAAATAGCGAGGTTTCTATTAGATGAATTCTATCTCTCTAATAAAATGACACCTGGTGGCAAACAGTGTCATATATACAGATACTGACACATGAGGGTGGACACCTGCAGCATTATATAGTGTTATAAAGTAATGCTGCTTCAATTAAAAAAAAGGTGAGTTGCAAAGAAATCAATAAAAAATAAATATATCTACCCATAGGCAAAAAAGAAATTGCAAAAAAAAAAATTTAAAAAGCCACCCAGCAGGGGGGCCACAGACCATCGTTTTCCAACTCCTGCTTTTCCAAGTACAGAACCGGCTTAGTCCTCCTGTGGCCAGAGGCCAGATAGGGCACAAGGATATGGACGGGAGGCTTGGCGCATGTTTGCTGTGTGAGTCAGTGGGAAGAGTCAAGCATCTGAATGTCACTGGCTGGAGAAAACAAGCACTTTCTGGCACAGCAGAGCTCACGCTCTCGGTTTAACCTTGGAGATGCTTCCCGATAAACAGGTGAAAAACATCTCACAAGGCCAACAAAACCCACCAGTTTTCACTCACTGGTCCCTCCTTGCCCACTGTATTCATTTCCTTTATGTAACAAAGCCCATAAAGGAAAGGAGAGAGATTTACTCTCTCACAGTTCAGAAAGTCAGAAGTTTGCAATCAAAGTGTCAACAGGGTTGGTTATTCCTGCGGGTTACGAGGGAGAAACTCTCCTGTTTCTCTTTAAGCTTCTGCTGGCCGTGGCATCAGGGACATTCCTTGGCCTCCTCCAGTCTGTTTCCCTCGTCAGACCCCTCTGCGTCTGTGTCTAAATTTCCCTTCTCTTATAAGGCGGGATTAGATCCACCTCATCCGGCGTGACCACATCTTAATTACATCTCAGATTCACACTTAATCCAAATGCAGTCACACCTGCAGATACAGGGGTGAAGAGTTGAACTTATCTTTAGGGGAGACACAGTTGAGCCCACAACACCCATCTTGACTCAAAAGTACTTCGCACATGACTCTCTGGTCACACTGGCCTCTCAGTTCCTCAAACGCCCAGGTTGTCTCCCCGCAAGCTCTTTGCATTCTGCCAGGAACACTCAGTCCTATCCCCAGCCGGCGGCTGCTTGTCCTTCATATCTCAGTTCAAATATTACCAACACTAGACTCCTCCGCCTCCCTAAGAGGAAGGGCTCTTTTCCTAGAAAAGACTCTCTACACCCTCCATTTTATTCTCCCAGGTATCACTGCCTGAACCTATCTTACTTGTTTTGGGACTTTCTGTCTTGCTCTCACCCCCATACCCCTCCAGAAGAATTATGTTCTGTGAAAGAGGAATGATTGTGGTTTAAAAATAGGTCCAGAAATTCTCTGACATTCCTCCCTTCAAAAAGGGGATCTTAGATCTCTTTCCCCTTGAAAGTGGGCCATTTATGACTCACTTCCAGTGAACGGAATGGGGCAGAAGGGATTCAACTTCTGAGGCTGGGTCATGAAAAGGATAACATCTACCCGGCTTGCTTCCTCTTGAGTCACTTGCAGGGGGAGAGGGGAAGGGAAGCTGGGAAGCTGCCCCAGGCTGTGAGGGAGCTCAAGCAGCATGCAGGGACCCCCTTGGAGAGGAAGCGACTGCCAGGAGTTTGTGGTGGCAGTGGATCCTTCAGATGATTTCAGCCCCTCCAAATGAATATTCCGGTGAGATCCCAGGCATCGTGGTACCAACACAAGCCATCTCTACTGTGCCCATTGAATTCCTGGCCCACAGAAATGATGAGATAATAAATTATATTTTACACTGTTAAGTTTGAGGGTAATTTACTACATGCCAAGATATGGCTAATAAATGAACTCTGTCTTGTTCACTGCTCTATCTCTAGTACCTAGAAACTGCTTATCAGGTCAGGTGCTTAGACATGTCAAGTCCATGGAGTAGGATCAAGAAGCTTGGTTAAACATCTTTAGAGCTGGAAAGAAAAGAAACAAAGCAAAAGGAAAAAAGGGGAGGGATTCCAGTCATTCTGGGATTTCTTTTCCAGATCTTCTTTCAAATGGTTCTTTCAAAAGAAAGGAAGGTGGATAAACCCCAGCCCAGTGAGGTCAGCCAGACTTACTGATTTGCACCATGCAGCTGGCTCCCGACTCTGGCCCCACGATGTGGCTCCCAACACACTTGAACTTCTTGCCATCTGACAGCTGGGACTGGTTCAGCATCTCCACCCCCAGCTGAGACTTCCCCACAACCACACCTCCTGGCTCTTCTGTCCACAGGAAGTTAGGGTCTGGGTATCCCTTGTCCCAGCGACAGGTGAGCTGCAGCATGAACGTTCCTGGTGACATCTCTGCCCAGCACTGAGGGGCTGATGGTGGAGGGGCTGCAAAACACCAGAGACACTGACTTAATCACAGACCCCGGATCAGCAGGTGGGCTGGCTCTCAGGCTTCTAGAACCGGGGTATCAGAGAAATATCAACACCGGTTAGCGTACCTGAAATAGCTCCTGGCACGATGTAGTGCCTGGTCACGGGAAAGTTTTCTCTGTTAGGTGTCAAATCTTCAAGGAGGGGAGGGGGTGGGGGCTGGGGGAGTCTCATTCATCTTTGCACTTCTCACATGTGGCAATTTAAACTTTAATTAATTAATTACAAATTTAGTTCCTCTATCACACTACCCACATTTCAAGTGCTCAGTAACCACACGTAGTGGGTGGCTACTGTATTAAACCACACGGAACAGAACATTCTATCACGGAAAGTTTTACTGGACAGGGCTGGTCCCTGAAGGGAGGTACAGGTGGGAGAGAGACGTATTCACCCTCCCACCCCAACATATTCTTCTCTTTTACTGTGTGCATGGATTACTAAAACATAAAAAATTAACACGTTGTAAACCTATATCTCCAATGTAATCCACATATTAATAATCTATAAATTCATAATATATTTAAATTTCCATTACACTGTGTATATATATATATCATCACATATTGGTACATGTGTCATATAACACACAAATAAACTCTACTCTCAAGTGGTTGGGTAGGTGCAGCAACAAGAAACATTAGAAATATACTAAGATAACCATCAGAGCACAAGTGATTATTTTCTACTTTATGCTCATCTGTATGACAAGCACATATGACTTGAGTATATATAATAAATGTTATTTATGATGGAGAACAGAGACTTATGAAGGTTCTGAATAACACATAAATTAAGCAGTGCGCAATTACCCTGCCTACTAATTCGTTGTTCTGATGCTCCCTTTCATTAGCGTAAATTGAGCCCACAGTTCTCACCCAAGAAATCTGCGAAAAGGTACATTTGGTTATTGTTTCCTCAGTCCCATGAATGCTGATTCTAACAGTGCTGGAGGGAGCAGGTTCATGAGCATGATGTATGAGGATGGAAGACTAGAAAACAAGTCACCATAGATCCAGAGACTATGCAAAAGATTACAATCAAGTGTGATTCAGCTACCAACAGGAGTGATATACTGTTGCCACACACTGTGGTCGAACCTTCAAAACATGGCGCTAAGGGAAAGGACATAAAGGCCACATGTTTTATGATTCCATCTATGTGATGTGTCTGGATAGGAAAATCCAGAGTTAGGAATGTGGATTAGCCATTAGGCAGAGCTGGGGGAAGACAGGATGGGTGTGACTGCTGAATGGATATGAGATTTCCACTTGGGGTGATGGAAGCGTTTTAGAATTATATAGAGATGATGGTTACACAACACCGGGAAGGTACTTAGTGCCAGAGATTTGGACATCTTAACATGGCTAATGGCAGGTTATATCATTTCACAAAAGAAAGCATCAGGCTTTAATCTCCTTGTGGCTCACAGGGACGCTCCTGTACCCCTACGAGCAGCAAGCCCTGCAAGAGCTAGGTACCTGCCTCTAACATGCCATAGCCCCTGGGGATGGATGTGTGAGTTGAGCGGGCAGCTGAAGAACCTGAGGACCCGCGCAGCACGCACACTCTGTAGACTAAAGGAAGAGGCACTTCACACAGGGTGAGGAGTGGGGGAGGCAGCTCTCCTTACGCACAGTAGACCAGGAGCTCAGTGGTCGCATTTCGATGTCTCCCGCTGAGCATGTTCTTGGCCAAACAGGTGTAGTTCCCTTGGAGGTTCTGCGACATCAGCAATAGCTTGAAGCTGCTGGCTGTCTGGTTGCTTCCAAAGGGCTCAGTTCTGGAACCAGGAGCCTGGAACCACCACTCAACCATGGGCGGAGGCCAGGAGCTGCTGCTGCAGCTGAAATCCACCTGGGAGCCTTTGGCTGCATAAAGGGTCCCATTGGGGAGGGTGCCAGTGGAGGAAATGTTGACCTCAACTTGATAGGGGCCACCTGGAATGACAGAGGGGAGCAGGAAAGGGAATCAGGCAATCATTACTTGAGAGCGAACTCAAGCGTGTTACTATTGCATCAACAACGCCACACTGATCAAGGAGTGGGAATCGTGGAGCAAGCGTAATGCAGGATGCTGCTGAAAGAGCAAGATCCAGGTCTTTTATTGATAGAATAATCATATAGCATCAATTACATGGAGTAGGAGAACAAAGAGGAAGGGTGTGAAAACTGAAAAGGTGTTTATCTCCAAGAGAGCTTCAGAAGCTGTGAGTCTGCTGCCCAGGTACTGACAATCCAATATCATACTGGAAATCATACCCCAGACCCCACCTATGGCTCCAGTCTTATCAATAAGGCATTACCCAGATCAGTCCCTGGAACATAAGGTCATACATCAGTCAATGGGCACCTGGGTATTCCCAGGCATTCCTCACAATGCATAGCCACTGTCCCAGGACAATCAAGCATCCTGCTCTGGTTCAGTTGAAATCCTGCTCTAGTTCAGTTGAAATCCTGCTCTGGCTCAATTTGAGAGGAGCCTGGTAGGGTCTGGACTGTTCTGACCTTAAACTGGAGGGCAGAGTACAAGTAACCAAAATGGTGGCCAAGGAGACCGTTTAGGTCTAGCAGACCCACATGTTACCAGCTCCAACTGACAGAAAAATGATCTGGGAGCAGTCGGTGAGGGTGACAACATCGACCAAATACTTATCATGTGACAAATGCTGTGCAAAGTGCCTTCTTGCATTCTCTCATGATCCCAGCTAAGATTTATGGGGAGGATTAAGGCTTGTAGAAAAAAGGGAAAATGTAGAGCCCTCCCTGGTGGCACAGCAGGTTACAGCACAGCACGGAGAGACTAAAGCCACTTCAGCATGAGTTCAATCCTCGCCCCGGAGGTGACCCACATGGCGCCGCAGACCTCTCCTAACCCGCCCACTGCTCCCCTCAGTGGTGTACTTCATCAATCTGCCTGTTCTGCTCCCCACTCTGTCTCTGATGAATCCTCTCACCACCCCTGTGCTTCTGGCCTGTACCCCAGTTCTGTATGCATAAATAAAAATCTTTAAAAAAAAAAAAGGGAAATGTAAAATTATTCCCCTTCAAAAATACTGGTGAGTGGGAGGGTATCTTTGCATTAACAAGTGATGGTAGCAAGCCTCAGATTGCTTTCTTTAAAAAGACCTGTTTGTGGAGTTGGCCTTGGCTGGTGACTGGGTTCTGGGACTTTAGAATGGTCTGCACCATTCCCAGGACTAACTGCAGGGTTCATAAGTCCCAAAGAGTGGTTTATGCTGAACACAAGCTTGGTGCCTCCATGATCAGCCCCAATAAAAACCCAGGACACTGAGCCTCTAATGAGTTCCCTGGTAGACAACACTTTACATGTTGCTGGAAGAATTAATCATGCCCCAGGTGACTCTACTGGTAAGGACTCTTGGAAGCTTACTTCTGGTCTCCCCCAGACTTAATCCATGTGTCTTTTCCCTTGTGGATTTTGCTTTGTGTTCCTTTCACTACAATCCATCTGAAATGCTGGGTCCTGGGGGTAGTTAGAGGGATTCCAGGACAATTTCATACTGAAATACAAGAAACATGGGTTACAGACCCAACTTTAAACTCCGCTCACTAGCTGGATGGTTTGAGGCAAGTAACCTAACCTCCATTCATGCGTCTGTAAAATGGGGGTGATGCTAGAACCCACTTCTTGGGGTTGTGCTCACAAGTAAATGAGTTAGTACCGGAAAGCACTCAGAACAATGCCTGGCATGTGGGGGGCGTTGACAAAAGCTAGGTCTTATCTGATCCTTCGCATTTCTAAACCTCTTTCTTTCCCAGCAATGCCCTCCTGCTGTGGGTGCCCCAACCCTTTACCCTTTACACCTAAGATCCCACCTTCCCTTAAGGAAATGAATATATCTAACAACTACAATTGCGAAGGCAATTTGGTGCATGGCCTCCCCCAGAGAATTCTTTTAAAAAAGAAAATCCAGGAAAGGCAATGCCTGGTGGAAGGAATAATTCTGACTGCAGATTTCTGAGAACAGAAATAAGCTGGGGGAGGGGAGGAGTGTTTGGGGGAGGAAAAAGGTTTCCCAGAGTCCCTCAAAAAGTACAGCATCTTCTTCAGCTATGTCTCAGATCACTAACAGCAGAAATGGTGCGTTCTTATAAGGAAACCATACAATGGGTCAGAAAAAAGATAAAACTAGCAGACAAACTATACATCAGAGACATTCAGCAGGGCACAAGTGGGGAAGGGATCTAAACAAGGGAGGGGAGAGCACAAGAGTCTATGGTGAGAGTTCACAGGTATCTTGGCGGTGGGAATTTTATGGGGATTATAACTGAGAGGAGAATCAAACATTTTACAAAATTGAACAATGTAAAAACTATTATATAATTTTTTTAAATTATGGGTTCCTGAGGGTAACATTCTTGACAAGATGACTGTCAAGTGGGCTTGGTTGGCCCCTAAAAGCAGCAGTGATCGGCTGCGATCATGTCACTTCCCACAGATGGTCTATGGGGAAATTTACTGTGCTTGGGAGGTGCTCAAATGTCCCGTTCACTGGAGCCAGCTGCTCAGGTATGTGGACCAGCAGGTCCCAGGGCACACCCACAGTGGGCAGCCACCCAACTAAGCACAGGGTGCCTCCAGGGCACTGACAGCCAATGCCCAAGCCAGCAGAGGCAGCGTGCTCGAGTGGACAGCCCACTCCTCCACGGAGTGGCCTGGAGGGCTACAGAGACCTGACATGGGCTGGATGAACTTCCAGAAATGGGCTGGGTGGGGCTGTTGACCAGCACAAGTCTCAGCAAGGAACAGGACTGGCCACGAGTGTCACAGAAAAGAATGTCCATAAAAAGAGAGGTTCCATTTCCCGGCCCCACCTAAGGAAGGGTGGTGCTGAGCAGCCAGGTGAAGCTGTAACAGGTACAGGTTTCATGGACTCCGCCCCCACTCCAGATGCTGGAACTCCAAATCCCATCAGTACCAAGGAGAAGCATGTCGGGACGTGAGGGCGGAGCTGAGCAGCCAGGTTGGATTAAACCGGACTTGTGGGCTCTGGGGGGACCTGGTGGTTCGCAGTTGACCGTTTTGGCGCACCATCGGTTTTCAGTGCGCCGGTGGAGTCCAAGTCAGCAGAACGGGTAGGACATCCTAGTTAACCTGTGTTTCTCTCCCTCTTTCCCTGGGTTATTCCTTTACCTTTCTCCTTATAAATAAATCCATTATTGAACCTTTTGAGTGTGTCCATAATACGATTGAATCGTAAGCGCACGGGTGAAGACCCACAGACGGCAACCCAATTCACATTGGGGTACCCTGTGACAAAGCTAGAGAACAGAGGAGACACAGGAGAACATCCTGGCGCACAGACATGGGAAGGGGTGCTTGCTCCTCGGCTTTGGACTTGCACCAGGAGCTTGGAGAGATGGAAGAGACACAAGGAGCAGATATGTAGAGACATACATATGTATGTCTGAGGCTGAGGGACCTGTGGGAAGGCTGACAACAGCAGCCATTTTACATTACCTTGACTTTTACTTTGACTTTCCTCCCATCGTCCCAGACTCACCTGGCCCCTACTTCCTCTTTCCTACGGTTCCCCGCTAAAGCTGCCTTAAAATCGTGGCAAGCTTTTAGGCCTCAGCGGCCCTGCTTTATGCCAACCCAGGAGGGGATGGGTAACTTTGGGTGTTTCACTGGCAAACAAAATATCCTTTCTCGCCTTCCCTGCCTATGCACACCATTCTATTAAATTCTTTCCTTGTTAAAGTTCTTACACACTAAGAATATACTTAGTCTTTATGAAGCAGATGGCAGAAACCATTTAGAGTGTGTAAGTTAGGGGTCCGGGGTGCCCCCAATCTGCACAGTAACAAAAGTCATGGTTGAAAGGAAGCAGATAAATGGGTTTAAAAAAAAAGAAAAAGAAAAAGAAAACAATGGCAAGAACCTCAAGCACCTCCTGGATAAAGTGTTCAGGCTCTTCTGGTTGCCTCTGCTCTCTTGACGGAAGCAGACACCATCCTGTTGGTTCCGGGGGCTGCTTCCCCTTCTCTGACTTGCTACAAAAAGGAGGTGTCCACTTCCTCTCCTCCTAACTCTCATGCTACTCCCTTGATGTGACTAAACAGAAACCACCCGTTTTTTTCCTGGTAGGGTGATGATAACAATCACTCAGCCAGCCAGGTGAGGAGGGCACAAAAATAAAACAGTAAATAAATTAAAAATAGAGGGTGGTTACAAAGCTTTGAATTTGGTCACTGTCAGTTTCTGTTTTGGATCTTTCTTGGATGAATGCCTCAGCCTAGTGGTTATGAGTTTGTACCCTGAATGCAGACCTGGGTATAATTCCTACTGCCTCTTACAGACAACCTTGAGCAAGTGCCCATCCCTCTCATTCTCATTATAAAACGAAAAGAATTGCAGTAACTTCTATCTCTGGGCCACTGGAGGATCCAGTGAGCTCCCATAAGCAGACACAGTCTGGTGCTAGACAAGAACACGGTGCTCCATAGCGTTATCTGACAGTTATTATCATTGGTCCACTGTAGGTTGATTGTAGCGCACTGAAGCAGCTTCAACGGATGACTGTCGATCATTTTGGAATAGTCCACAAAGAATGCTTTTTAAAGATAAGCATACATGATCAATTTGAAAGGCTAGTAAGTCTAAATTCCAATAAAATGTTATTCTCTCCCTAAGAATTCCATTATCATTATTTTGCTTGTGGTATTAAAAAAAAAAAAGTACTCATCATTCTATACTGAATTATATCAATAAAAATTACATAGAAATTTGTTTTCCTTCATTAAGGGTGAAGAAAATATTTGCAGCAACATGGATGGAGCTGGAAAAGATCATGCTTTGTAAAATAAGCCAGAAAGAAAAGGATGGTTTCATTCATAGTGTAACAGGGTGGTCCCTAGGAAAAGGGGAAGTTCCAGGTTCCCTGCCCCACCCAGGAGGGTGGAGCTATGGAGAG